ATCGACGTATAAAATATATTGCTGTTTATTTAAATGTTTTTTGTCCGCATTCCTTTCATAGACATAGATCCAGCAGATGTACTGTACATCCTCTATCTCCGAAACTAAGCATTTTAGAACATACCCATACAGCACATCAAATCACATTTACGATGTGTTTACATTATTAGATGTAGACACAGGGTGACACAATTCCCCCGATGTAATTATGCTACGTTTACACATTGTAGTTCAACACGTATACACAAAGGTTAAACGTCCGCATCACAATGTAGCCACAGTATAGCATTTACGTATACACAAAGTAAGGGACACAGTGTGCCGTAGGATACACAGTGCTTGTGTATTACGTTTAAACTATGTTTACACATTGCAGTTGTGACTACCGCGTGTATACGTATGTATTTTGCTTCGTATATACATCTTGTGCTAGATAAAACTACTTCTTATGAACGTATTTAGGAAATAATACAAGTTTTGATGCCTAACTTTTCCTTTTAGAACGAAAATTAGGAAGGCAAAACTTTGTATTTTATTTTTATTATAGTTCAAGAGAAGTAGCCTTAAAATTGTTCCATTTTTGTTTTGTATTAAATGTACCATTTTTCTTACATAAAATGGATTAAGTGGTTAAAAAATAACCATGGAACGCAATAGCGCAAATAACACAATAATAATAATTATTTACACTGTGAAAATTAAAACACTGTAAAAGAACAGAGTTTGTATCAAAATGTATTAAAAATATAAGTACCTAGTATAACAACATACTAAAATGGTAAACACTGGTATATCGCCACGATTTGGTGGACCCCGTTTAGTCATTTTTTTCTCCTCTTTTCCCTCCAAGCAGTTGGTTTATTAGCATACTCATTCATCGAGCACTCTGTTGGACTTTGTTGTATTTTATTTCCAGATTAACAATCTCACCCTTAAATTTTATATGAAACTGATTATTGAATATTAAACATATCTGTGTATATTGATCCATCTATAACTTCTAGAAGAAGTTCTTTGAAGTGTTTAAATCTTTCTTTCTCTGGTTCATTTAGATTTTTATTATTTCCAAAAAAAAAAAATTATATTGCAGTCAGCTAAGTCAGTTAACCTTTTTATCATTATACGAGAATATTTGGAGTTTTCATTCATTGGAGTCAAAATTTGGTATATTGGTTATCGAGTAAGGGAAGAGTCGCTGCTATAATATTAATAATACTGTTAGGAAGGTGTAACAAGGTAATTAAAAACTTGCACTTACCTTAAAATCTCTTTTAAACTACACACAAACAGAACATTTATATAGAGCTTCCTAATGATAAAACAATAATGGCTGCTAAACACATACCACTCCTAGAAAGGAGAAAGGAGAGAGGACACATAAGATACACTTGGTCGGTGTATCTACGCTGAGGCTATCCGCGCATGCGCACACCTTCATTCATTTCATGCTAGAATGTAGACACAACAGTACACTATTACAAAGTGTCTATATAGATATTTATATTATGTGTATACGTCACATTTTTACAAGGTGTGTACTATAGGCACAACTATGATACGAAGTATCACACATACATATGACCTATACATTGTATGTCTCATATACCGACGTCAGATTTCATCATTTTAATAATTATTTGTTACGTTACAAAAAACTCTTTAGAATCTTGAGTGCATACGGTATACAACTAGTAAACACTGTATCACACAATTCTATCAATATAAACCTGCGTGTATCTCATATTTATATGTTAGAACTAGACGAACACTTAGGTTCACTTTAACATATGTTGTATCTCATGTGTCTCCCTTGTAGAAACGTAATTTTATTTGGACGTGCTATATGGGTACATTTATACGAACTTTTTTACTTATTTTTATCTGTAGAATATGCTGCTAAAGTATCCGGAATACAGTTTGGACCATCCTGTATATAGATAAAAGAAAGTCACAAAGTGTTTAAAAATAGCTGTTTAATTGGCAAGGTAAATCCTTCCGCTGAATAATATACCATCACGATATACTACTTTAATCTATGGCTATAACCATAGGTATGACGTCAACGCAAGTTGATTACATACATACCATGATGGCATTTACGGTTTAAAAACGACTTTAATAGAGCAGCTATGTGCTATTATTCCGCGGAGCCCTACAGCTAGCCAGGGATAAAAGGGCCCTTAATTGGACATCCGTTGGGCTGCGATGACATAGCCACGGCCTAAATAGGATGGAATGTGACACGTAGTAATAATATCCGTGGAATAATGTTGGTTCTATGGAGGTTGCGGTTGAATATAACAAAATCGTTGAGTTCTTATATTATACAGGGTGATCCGAATTGTATTCGGGAAACTTCGGTAGCATTATGCAGATAAAAATAAGTAAAACATTTCGATTATAAATGTATGTCCTATAATGCTTAGTTTCGGAGATACAGGGTGTAGAAGTTTCATTTTTATTTCGATTTTTTCCAAATAATTTCTGAAATAACCTCAATATTTGGATGAAAATTGGTGAAAATAAATTTTCATCCGTAACCGTATAAAACTACTGAGTGAAAGAATATACATTTCCGTGATTTTTTATGTAAAAAAGTCTCTTGATAAAGATCGCTTCGAGCAACCGTTCTCAGGATATTTAGAATGGAAATAGTCAATACATGTCATTATCAACAAACAATAAACATCGACAAACAACAAACATAAACAAATTTTTCTTCGAAAAAATATACTACTATTAGGTCGACATAATTAATTTATGTCAATGATGACAGGTATTGATAATTTCGATTCCAAATATCTCGAAAACCATTACTCATAGCAGTAAGTTTTTTACGTAAAAAACGTCGTAAATGTATAATTTTTGATTCAGTAGTTTTATACAGGTACGGACGAAAAGTTATTACTCTTCAAACCAGTTAAAAAATATGTAGGTGGCGTCCTCTACAAATAGGAGTCATGTTGACCTGAAAATCAAATTTCTGATGTTAAAAAACTTCCAGACACCAATTTTCATCCAAATATTGACGTTACTTCAGAAACTATTTTGAAAAAATCGAAATAATAATAAAAATTAAACTTCTACACCCTGTATCTCCAAAACGAAGCATTTTAGGACATACATTTATACGAACTTTTTTACTTATTTTTATCTGTAAAATATGCTGCCGAAGTTTCCGGAATACAGTTCGAACCACCCTGTATATATGTTTCAAAACCAGGGTGGCCGGCAATATACAGGGTGTCCCATTTTGGTTGAAATCATACGGTATCTCCGTTATTAGTGAAGATAGAAGGGTGCGGTTTGCACAAACCTGTCTCACTTTTTTGTCAAACGGAAGATGCCGTAAACAAAATTTTCATAGCCCTCTTCGTTTCCGAGCTACAGGGTCTTTTTGATAATTTTGCAATTTGGGACACCTCGTGTATCTCTGTTATTGTTAAAGCTATCGAGAAGGTGAAAACTGTTTATTGTAGAACTTTTTACGTAGAATACATTGGCGTAGTCTGTTTTTCTACCAAAAAAATATTTTTGAAAATATGAACTAAAGTAATGTTTTTTAAATGAAAAACCCTGTATATTTATAAATCATATGATCTGTCTTGCCATAAGCTTCTCAAAAATATATATCACTCTATATTTATTTTCACTATTTACTGCAATATTTAAAAGTTTTTATTAAAAGATCATATTTATTAGTAGGCCATGATTGATAATAAAAGAAACTAAAGAATTATTAAAAGTATACTGCGATCTATCTCTTGTTTTATTTTGGGAGCCGCTAATAAATTCTTTATATATTAGGGAAACTTAACTCTCTACCGCTATTTGTAAATCTTGGAATACGTGTATACGTAAGAATAATCAATCGTATCGGAAATTTTAGGTATTCCTTTAGCTAATTTACGTGAAATATACTTTCAGCAAGATGGGGAACATTCCCCCTCATAACTATGGAAATATTAGAATACTGTTAAATTATTATTTTTCAAATCAATGAACGCATATTGATAGCCTCCTCGATTCCCGGATTTCGCCGTTCTCGATTTCTGATTTTGGGGATTTTTGAAATACGAAATATATCGTGGGCACTACAACAATGTCGAACACCTGAAAAATGCTTTAATAATTCAAGATTTAGATATTTGCAGACCCATCCCGTTATAAAAAAAAGAAAAATATATTCACAGTTTCAGTGGTAACAGTTATTTCAAAAGTAAAATATATCAATCCCAAATTAATTTTAATATGTGAATAACTATTTTAGTAAATACCATTTTGATTTTTTGTTATTTATCACGGCCTACTAATAAGAAAATGATATATTTTAAATATTGCAGTAAATAGTGAAAATAAATATAGAGTGATATATATTTTTGAGAAGCTCGTAGCAAGACAGATCATATGATTTATAAATATACAGGGTGTTCTATTTGAAAAAACATAACTTTAGTTCATATTTTCAAAAATATTTTTTTGGTAGAAAAACAGACTACGCCACTGTATTCTACGTAAAAAGTTCTACAATAAGCAGTTTTCGCCTTCTCGATACCTTTAACAATAACAGAGATACAGGGGGTGTCCCAAATTGCAAAATTTTTAAAAAGGCCCTGTAGCTCAGAAATGAAGAGGGCTATGAAAATTTTGTTTGCAGCATCTTCCGTTTGACGAAAAAGTGGGACAGGTTTGTGCAAACCGCACCCTTCTATCTTCACTAATAACGGAGATACCCTATGATTTCAACCAAAATGGGACACACTGTACAATATAACAAACTACTAAAGTATCCCACAGACGCTTAATTTTTTCGCACATGTCGCTTGTGCAGACCTTATAATATGAGCAATAGTTTTTTTCCATGAATGTTACAACAAAAAAAATCCATTTGATTCAAAATCTTTTGTGGTCATTGCATTTCCATTGCTTTCGGACTACATACTCTCGCATAATACTCTCGTTAGACCAATATCGCGGGTTAATTTAAATAGAATTTGTACCTTCCTCTTGGAGCGGGCCATTCTCTTATCTCTCAGATTCTCCGCTTCGCCAGGAATCCTGTGGCACCAAATAACCGCAGCTATGCTGGTATAAGTGAATAGCAAAACGATCAAGGGAACAATGTACTGCATAACCATCAATAGCGTGGTGTAGATCGAACGGTAATTGTCACCAACAGCTCTGTAGTCTTCCTGACATATATATCTGAAAAAGAAAAAATCAGATTTTGATAATTTAACATTATTAAATAAAATATTAGATAGTTAACCTGTAATGTTTCTCAAAAGTAGCTTACCTTATAACTTTTTTATTTTTTCAGATAAAAAAACGAGATTTGGTATGTTAGTGTATGACATAAATCAGGATTGATTGACGTATTCAATTGTTTTCTGCCACTTCCTGTTTTTAACACACTCTAGATTGACATTTAGAATACAATTTTGTTTTAAGCGAAAATGTCAAAAGTTGACATATGATATGTCATTCTCTCCAGAGTGTACAGGGTGGGTCAAATTCGACGCTTTTAAATGGAAACACCCTTTTCTATAGGAGATAGACAAAAAACTAATATCGGTGTCTGGAGCTCAATTTTTGTCAAAAATATGATGGTGAAAACCGCATATCGATATCTGTTACCGTTTCGGAGTTACGGGGTGTTGTTCAAACATATGCATTTTTAACAAATCGCTGTAACTTTTTTGCTATGGAAAATTATGTATTTTTATGAAAACATTTCCAAAGCACCTTTTTACGTAGAATTTAATGGTTTAAGTATATTTTTTTAAAATTAATAATTTAAGAATTATCAACAGAAAATTTGATTTTTTATATGGGATACCGTGTATATTTTTAATTTATTGAAAAGAATTTAAAATTACCTTTTCAAAAATATAACACACTTGATATTTTGCTAGATTCCTCTTCGAGGTATAGAGTATATAAAAATTCGCCCGCTTTAAATAAGTAAGCTTTGAACGGCACCGGTTGTAATGCAAAAAAATTCTAGCTGTGAGCATCAATTAAAACGAAAATAATATTTGCTATCAGAGATGCAGGATTTTATAACAATTTAAAATATATTTAACCAACATCAACACATTTAAACTATATCTAATAACAATAAAAATAAATAGCAAACCAAGACATGAGATTTTGCTACAGGTGTTCGACCTATCGACCGTCTTCTGTTATGGACAGACGGAGCAGTTTTTGAACATTTCTCGCGGAATTCATTAACTCAGTGGGGGTGAAAGATACCCTCTCATAACTGCTAAGTATTTCTAATTCTTGGCTAGATTATACGGAAGAATAAGGAACCTTTATTCTTCCGCAAATATATCCATAGGATTAGATCCATGGGCACTAAGTCAGGCGGCCTCGACGGCCAACGGCTGGGATCTTGGTTAGCTATTCAATTATTCTTGAAATTGGCTGTAAAAATTTGCTGATAACTTCAGCTTTCAGAGGCGGTGCGTCGTCTGGCTGGAAAAATATGTTTTCGAGTTCCATTAAGGGCATATCATCAATAAAGGGTCCAAAGCCTACTAGTTAAAAGTGGCGAACTTTTAAAAATTCTGTATTTCGAAGGGGATTATAACAAAATATCAAGTGTGCTATATTTTTGGAAAGGTAATTTTAAATTCTTTTCGGTTAATTAAAAATATAGAAGGTGTCTCAAACAAAAAATCAAATTTTCTGTTGATAACTCTTAAATTATTAATTTTAAAAATATTATACTTAAACCATTAAATTCTAGGTAAAAAGGTGCTTTGGAAATGTTTTCATAGAAATACAAAATTTTCCATAGCAAAAAAGTTACAGCGATTTGTTAAAAATGCACATTTTTGAAAAACACCCCGTATCTCCGAAACGGTAACAGATATTGATGTGCGGTTTTCACCATCATGTTTTTGATGAAAATTGAGCTCCAGACACCGATATTAGTTTTCGTCTATCTCCTATAGAAAAAGGCGTTTCCATTTAAAAGCGTCGAATTTGACCCACCCTGTACTTTTCTATCGAATAAAGTAAAAAAGTACCGAGGGTGCCATTTAAAAATCAAAAGTTATAGTTTGGTTATAGTCATTTCCGTCGAAACAGAAAGTGACCAAAAACAATTAAATACGTCAATCAATCCTAATTTATGTAATATTAACATACCAATCACCAGGACCACCAGAACCAAAAATGAAGAAGTTCTTCGAAAATGGAGCACGACAGACTACTTCTGAACAATATCAAGCAATGAAAACTTGAATACCTTGGCCATATAACCAGAGGACCTCGATATGAGTTTCTCCGACTGATCCTTAACGGAAAAATCGAAGGGAAGTAGTTGATTGGGCGCAAGAGGCTTTCGTGGTTGAGGAACTTGAGGCAGTGGACAGGCTTGAGCGCGAATGAATGGCTCCATGTAGAATTTTTTAGAATTTAGAATGAGTGGGAGGGGGGTTAATCACTGCGACCTTACAGATCCATTGTGTCCCCCTTTCTTGAGTCATAACGCATCATACAGTCCCAGGGCTTTGACAAAAGCCAGTATCTGGGACGGTTTTATAGAGGGTAGTTCTCCATCTCCAATATCAGTCGTACCAAAATTCATGGCACGAATGGTTGTCGTCTCGGCGCACTCAGTGATGAGGTGTACTGGTGTTTCCCCATCTTCCCCACAGAATCTGCATTCGCCGTTTATTCTTAGTTTCAATCTACTGAGGTGTTCATTGAGGAAACAGTGTCCTGTTAAAAACCCCGTGACAATCTGAAGATTGTTCTTACTTAAACCCAGGAAGATCTGTGATTTTTCTTGATCATAAGCCCTCAGAAACTTCTTCGAGTGTCTTAGACCGTTGCAAGATTTCCATTCAAGGTTGCGGATGGAATCTTCCAAGTTCTTGAGTTCCGCCTTGAGTTGGTTACCACTTGGAAAGCAGAACGGTTCTGGTCCAGTTAGTGGAGTGTTCGCTCCTTTCCTAGCTAGATTATTTGCTTTTTCATTGCCTTCTATCCCTTGGTGAGCAGGCACCCAGTGTAGGAGGACTTTGTTTTCTTTGCCTAATTTATTCAGCTTCTCTATGCATTCTTTGACCAATTTCAAATCGATTGATACTGAGTTGATCGCCTTTAACGCTGCTTGACTATCAGATAAGATGGCTATTTCTTGTTTCCGATAGTTCCTATCTAAGATAAGTTGTACGCATCTCTCGATAGCGTAGATTTCTGCCTGTAGGATACTAGGGTAAGTGCCCATTGGTTCGGAGTAATTAGCTCTCGGCCCAAACACTCCGATCCCTGTTCCCGTATTGGTTTTGGAAGCATCAGTATACCAAGTTATGGTATGGTCTTTTAACTGCTGGGCAAGCGTTTCGCTCTTCCAATCCTTTTTATTGCTCAATACTACATTGAGATGTTTCTCAAAGTTGTACGTTCTTGGCATATCGTCCACTGGGAGTTGCAGGAGTGGTATTTCCTTTATGAGGGTGTTCCAAGCCCCTGATCTGACAATTCTCCCAGTACTAATTTCGTTAGTGACCATTCTAATCACTGTCGCATTGGCATATCTACCAATGACAATGTGCAGTGGTGTTAGATCTAGAATGTCCTCCATTGCTGCTGTTGGACAGGTTCTCATGGCTCCTGTGATGCAAACGCATGCTAGTCTCTGGACTTTGCATAGGTTTAGCCTTGCCGTTGCTCCATGTAGCGCAAGATCGAAAGCGATACAGAGATATTGTTAACATGGCAGTCATCAACGTTCACTAGGAACATGTCACTTGAAGAAGAAGAACATACCAAATCTCGTTTTTTTTTTATCTGAAAAAACAAAAAAGTTATAGGGGTGAGCCACGAAAACGCATCCTGTATAACAGTAATACTTAAATGAGATTTTCAAATCGGCAACGGCCTCGTACGTTGATATAATTTTAGTGGAAAATATTTACTTTAATATTAGATGCGTAGATCCGGCTTCATAAAGCCCTAAGATATTTGCTTAGATATGCATATGGCAAAGTCAATAAAGTTGTTATGCACGTAACTGGGGAATATAAGGCTGAAAATGGCGGCTCAAACGTCTGATGGTGACGACGTCGCCGCCGTTTTCTGCAATGGAAATTGAGCTTTTTTACACAGTTTCCGCGTGTTCCATTTAGCATTTTGGTAACTTTGGACCAGTCGAGAATCTCGTATATAGAGTGATTAAAGGACCGCGACTTTTTAGATCTATTGTGTTTTACTTTCTTGAGTTATAACCCTTGATCATATATATAGTTACGTAGATAAGTTAAGGGCTCGAACACACTGACGACCAGGTCGCACCGGCCAGGCCGCAGCTACCTCTAAGACCATTAAATCAAATGAAATAGCACACACTAACGTCCTGGCCGTCCGTTAGTCATTGCGACCAGAAGACTGCACGGAAATATTATTTTCTGCCGCTTGTTGCCGGTTTTCTTCCAAATTAATAATTTTTCAGATGAAATCCCTCAAATTCAAGGCATAATATTTTATTTTCTGTAAGATATAGTCTGTGATATAGTGTTTTAGTGTAGTTTTTGCATACGTGCAGAATCCAAAGAAATAGTATACAGACTGGATCAAAGGTAAACTTAAATCTAATCCCTTTTTTTATCAAGGGTCGATTCTAGTAAAACTCAAAACATTTTTATATGACATACCTACTCTATTTATGGTTGGTATGATACCTGTTATTATACCTTTGAGTTTGAAAATAATATGATGTCAAAAAATAAAAAAAATAATATTTTAGTTTTTCTACAACCACTAGTTTTTTTTATTAAATTATTATTTTTAGTTATATTGTAGTCATGTACAAGGAGGACAACTGTATTTTAAATATTATATTTAATTTAACGTTTTTCAAACAGGGTTCATTAGACTATATTTCTACTAGGTACATTATTTTGAAAAAAAAATAAGAAAGTAACTTAAACATTCATAAAAGTAGAAGTAATTACTGTTGTAGATTCTTCGTTATATTGTAAACATTGAAATAACTGGAAGCTAAACTTTCTACCTGCTTATATTTAGAGCCAGTGTCTGACGATCTTTTTTTACGATGGCCTTAATATGTTTACTTCTAAAGTAGATAAGGGCACCATATCAGTAGAAAAAGAAACAGAATATCTCCCTTTTTGTCGGTCGCGCCTACACAATGCTTTTTGTTTGTTGTGAATAGCATTCGCTTTTTAGTTAACTCGGATATTTTAACATTTCTGAAATAATATTTTCTAATTGGTAAAACGTAAAAAATCGTTAGATTTGACAACTCTGTTGAAACTGGTCGTTCATATGGCCGCAGCTAAAAACGCAATACATCCGGCCAGCAGACGACCAAGTCGTTGCGACCTGGTCGTCAGTAAGTTCGAGCTCTAAGTTTAGCATTAAAAAATATGTCTCCAACATCATGCCATGCCATTTCCAAACCTTCTTTAATGCACTTATGAAACGTTCAATAGGTTTGTCTTTTCCGAGGACCTTGCTTTGCGCCCATGCGCATTAAAAGTTGCACGTATTTCCAAAATAATCACAATTTTATACGGTTTAGAGAGTACAAATTATACATTGTTATGGAAACCAACTTTTCATTGTCATCATATAGTCATAAGCTTTTTTCGTTTTCCTGTTATTACCGATTCTGAACCATCCTAGAACTGTAATGCGTATGCGCAGAAGGAAATATGAAGACATTATTTCATTTGCGCATGCGCTGCAGAGTTTTAGGACGGTTCAGAATCGGTAATAACAGGAAAACGAAAAAAGCTATAATCTGGTCATAATCATATGTCATAATCTTATTTCCATTGTGTAACGATTATATTATAGTATTAACGACATTCTATAACCCATAATACAGTCTCAGGGCTTTGCCAAAAGCCTGTATCCCAGACGGTTTTACAGAGGTTAGTTCTCCATCTCCGGTATCAGTCGTATCAAAGTTTGGCGCACTCAGTGATGAGGTGTTCTGGTGTTTCCCCATTCCCCATTAAGTTCATCAGACCGAAGGGAACAGCCATTCGACGACCGGTTTCGGAGATTCTTCTCCATCGTCAGGCCGACTTTGCTGTAACCCTTGATCTGACCAACGAAAAGCAGAGAATAGCATTTGAGTACAAAACGTACTACTATGGCGAGAGTGCTAGACGCTCTACGCCATCTAGCGGTAGCTGTGACAATCACAGATCGTACCGCCAAAATTAAAACCGGCGGCCTACTGGACAAACATGCTTGCTTCATCCACGTTACCGTAGATGGAGCTAAGAAGGCTTAGGTAGGGTATATATAATAAATAAACAAAAATACGAGTAGCGGAAAAAGGGGCCAAAAAACCCTACATATATGCTTATTCTCTGCATTAAGTTCATCAGACCGAAGGGAACAGCCATTCGACGACCAGTTTCGGAGATTTTTCTCCATCGTCAGGCCGACTTTGCTGTAACCATGCCCTAGACACTCAATGGTAATTTTATAGAACTACAAATTTAGTTTCTTCCGCATCGCCAGACGGCGCAAAAGACATTAAAGTACAGGTTTCTAATTTATATTATGAAGATGACATGACAGTCTCTATGTTAACTACTGTCTATGGTCTAGTTTTTGTCTAGTTGACAAAATGTTGGTGATCCGTCAAGTTATTTTTAAATCATTATTTAAATAATTATTAATTCAGATATTCCTGATTTGTCGGAAAGTTCGTGATTTGTGTTTATAGTTTGTGTTTTTATTAGTTTGTGCATTCTGATACTTACATCATCATTTTCGTGTTAGATACTAATATATATATATATATATATATATATATATATATATATATATATATATATATATATATATATATATATATATATATATATATATATATATATATATATATATATATATATATATATATATATATATATATACTTTTATTAGTCATTTTGACATTTTAGAAATAATAATTTAGAAACCAAATAAAAAAGTAGTTTAATCATAAATAAGTAAGTACATAGTTGGTAATATATAGTATTTTTAGTAACAGTTAATTAGTAGTCTATAATATTTTTACTATATTAAAATTTAGTTGTTAAATCAAAAAAAATAGGCGCTATGTGATCTATTGTTGGTGTTTAAAATGTATGTATTTATAATTTTAATTTTGTTGTAATTATGTTACACTTCTAATGATCTAATAAAACATAAAATGCAGTAAAAAAGTCTATATTTATTATTTTATATTTTACAAGGAATACTTTGCGCTTGAATAACGTTACCGTTTTAATTAGCGTTAATAAGTAACGGAACGCTAAAATTATGTTATGCCAAAACTCTCCATTAGTTTCTTCCGGATCACCAGGTGGCTCTAAATGACGGATCCATTTGTTTTATATCGGTGTCCAATCTATCTCTAGTACGTGACATTAGTCTATGGCTGTAACCCTCGATCTGACCAACGAAAAGCAGAGAATAGCATTTGAGTACAAAACGTACTACTATGGCGAGAGTGCTAGACGCTCTACGCCATCTTTTGGCCCCTTTTTCCGCTACTGGTGTTTTTGTTTATTTATTATATATACCCTACCTAAGCCTTCTTAGCTCCATCTACGGTAACTTGGATGAAGCAAGCATGTTTATTTCAGAAATGATTTGGAAAAAAAAAGAAATAAAAATGACACTTCTACACCCTGTATCTTCAAAACGAATTATTTTAGGAAATTATTTTATACGAACTGTTTTACCTATTTTAATCTCTAGAATATGTTGCCAAAATGTCCCCTCTAAATTCAAAACCGCACACTTATTACTATTATATTAAACAAAACTTTGAAACTATGAAATTACTTGTAATAAACTTACTTGTCGCATTTTATGTACTTATTTTCAGGTTCCACCGTCTCGTTTGCGTATTCTGTATCGTTGTATTGTGGTTGATAGACACGGGCAAATATACCACTGGGCAGCACGGTGATACCAGCAAACACCCATACCCCCGCTATAATCCATGTTGCCGACCTTTTGGAGATCCTCGGCTTCAAGGGGTACATGATCAGCATGTATTTGTCTATACTTATGGCAACCTGAAAAAAATAAAGAAAATTTCAAAAAACATGTCTCCTGTATAATCTATTAACTATTGGTCTCAAATTTTACAGGGTGAGTCCTAAATAAGTGCAAATATTTTCAGGGCTGGTAGTCCGAAATAACCGAGTTATTTAAGTTTGAAAGTTTAATAAAAATTGATTTATTTAAAAAAAAATTGAGAGCCACTGGATTTTTCTGTATTTGCATATCTTTTAGTGTCGTTAACTATGATAATATCATAGTATAAGGAAACTAGTAGTTTTACTCCTTGTCAAATCCTTTGTTCTTTTTCTGCCACTTTATATGACCTTGTTCTCGCCTCCGTAGCCGACGACGTAGCTGTATAGTCGTGGTCTATTAACTAGGCAAAGTATAGACGTGGCACTCGCCATAGTTTCACAGATATGTATTTAAGAAAATATGAGTTCACAATAAAATAAAATAAAAAAAAATGATCATCGAGTAAAAACTTGCTTGAAAACAGAATATTTTCACATTTCGTGTAGGTAAAAATTCTTCTGTATCTGAAAATCTTCTGATGGGAAGAAATGCGGAAAAAATATATAATGACATATTTTTATATTATTATCTATTTCAGAGATTTTCTACGACTTTTTTTTTATTTAAAGCAAGTTTAATTTTCTGTAGATAACTCGATTCGGCATAAAATTATGCTATAGTCTTTATTTAAAGCACACTGAGGTGTTGCCAATCTATTTCTTATTTACTAAAAAACTTTGGTTAAATACATTATATATGAAAAGTGGTAAAAAACTAGAGTGAATATAACTTTATTAATACTTTGCTATGTTTTCTTAAACATGAAGGATATCGGAATAAATTCGTGTAGAAAAATTTACTTTATCGTATACAGGATATTTTTTATGGCGTCACCAAAATCGTAATATTTAAAAAATGTTGTATCTCATTTTTTTTAAATGCAACACCTTGTATATTATTTTTCTTTCAGATGTAGAATTAAAAGGTGAACATTTTTTGACAAGACAAGACAGACAAAGATCATATTAGGTGGCTTTGAAAAAAATTTTCTGTTGAAAGAGCCATATGTAATATAATACTGCGAATATCTGCGACAGCGGTAAAAATTTAGAAACACTTTAAATTAATAAAAAAAAAATGTTCACTTTTTAATTCTGCATCTGACACAAAAATAATATAAAGAATGTCGCATTTAAAAAAGTTGAGATATACTATTTTAAATATTGCGATTTTGGTGACGCTATAAAAAATACCCAATATAGAATAATGTATATAGAATGATGTAAAATAATAAAAAAATCAAACTAACTTTACCATAACTTTTTTTGTGACACCCTGTATATAACAAAATATTTTAGGATACACCCCTTTATAAACCTTGAAACATATGAATAAAACTTTTGTCACATCTTCGACAACGACGACGATATTGGACTTCCTCGAACTAATGGGCCACCCTGTATATTTACGGTGGTTTAAAGCTAGGTGTGGCACTTTTCTTTCCTCAAATATAAACTCAGTATTTTGTCTATAATATTTTGAATATTGTTATATTACGGCCACTTATAATAAAAAATAAATAAAAAAAAACATAAAAAAATACAGTCCACTAAATTTATAAGAGATTATGCTATTATAAAATTCTTTCAATTAAGAAATACGAATAATTTGCGGAGACTTTAGATGTACAAAATATTTACTCTAAAATTGTTTCAAAAACCAATTTATATAAATTATCTCGTAAATTATTATTGGAATGAAAATTTTATGGAAAATCCCCTGACCAAAAAATATTTTCATGTGCATATTTGAGACAACCTGTATATCTAAAAAACTATTTTTAAAATCTGCACACATGCTAAAAAAATTAAACATTTAATTAATTACATAATATCTCAGCTTCTAAAATAAACAAATATAATTAAATGTTAATTGATAATTACTATCAGCTTGCCGATTTACATCCGATGGAAATCTAAAAAGACTCAAAGAACAATTTTTTGAATTATTTCCACAATAAATAGCAGCGCACAGTAAGACACTCATTTTTTGTCAATCCGTCCCTGTGCTCGGACGCAACGCTGGAACCTCACAGCTCGACGGACCGAATTCAAATGAAACGCTTTGCAACCTGCCAGCTTGCAAAAACTGGCAGAAAATATTTGCGAGAGTGCAACTACTCTTTTCCTTAAACTATGATAATATCAAAGATTAAGAAACCGTGCCGTGGGAAAACTTGCGGTGAACAAGCAGTTCTAAAGAGTTTTCTAAAATATACAAGAAAATTTAAAAGAAAATGCACGATTTTCAACATATTTTTTGCGAAAAACCTCACAGTATATAGTAAAGACTCATCCTGTAGAGTCTGTCCAACGAGAGAATTCCTGACTGTAACAGTTGCGTAATTTTTTGTCAACTGTCGAAATATTGCCTGATTTATTGGACAGACTATACGTTTCTTAAATAAAGCATACATTCTATTCAAATCCTTATTATTTCAAAGATATATTTAACCAAACATTATCTCTGAATATAAACAATGACACGACCAATAGTGCTGGATGCATGTGAAACGTGGACGTTCAATGCAACGGAAAGTTCGAGGCTAGAGATTTAAGAAAGAACAATACTGAGGAAGATTTTTGGAGGAAATAAGATAGACAACATATGGACCAGAAGAACAAAGAAAGAATTAAAGTAACTATATCGGGCACCGAGTATCATGGGAATAGCAAGAGCACAAAGACTGAGATGGCTGGGACACATTAGAAGAATGGCTGAAGCAAGAATTCCTAGTATGATAATGAAACGTGAACTGGGTGGAAAAAGAAGGAGGGGTAGACCAAGAACCAGATGGAAAAAAGATGTTGAAGAGGACTTGAGAAGGATAAGAGTGGATGGGTGGAGAATAAAGGCGAAAGACAGAAACAAATGGAGAAAGATAACCAATCAAGCCATGAATTCCTAGTATGATAATGAAACGTGAACTGGGTGGAAAAAGAAGGAGGGGTAGACCAAGAACCAGATGGAAAAAAGATGTTGAAGAGGACTTGAGAAGGATAAGAGTGGATGGGTGGAGAATAAAGGCGAAAGACAGAAACAAATGGAGAAAGATAACCAATCAAGCCATGAAACTTTTAGGCTTTTAGAGCTATTATATAATATATATTGATCTCGCAAAATTATGACATTATCATCAATAATTGTCATTCCCCAGCCGCAATATGACGTCGTTTTTTTTCGATCGTATTTCTTCTTCGGCTTATTCAATAAAAAACTTTCATATTTACCTACGTTTTATTGTTCTAACCTGGAAATGTATTTCCACGATTTCATTTCCTGTATTCCGAACAGGACCTCGGAACCGCAACAATTTTTCTCCAGAACAAACTCGAATCTTTTCGCGATACTTTCAAAACTTTGGATGTCGCGAAATATATTCGCCTTATATTCGCAATCGAGTCGACTGGGGCACTTTCTCAAACTTGCTTTAAGTTGGACGTTTTAAACAAAGTTGCCTAATACTGTCTCTAGCTCTTTGTGAAGAATTTATGTTGACTCTGCGGGAAATGCAGCTAGTATAACAAATTTTGAAACAAGTTTTAAGTACATATAACATAAGTGATGGCAAAAGAATTAATTTTATTTCAAGAAATACATCTCCACCGCTTTCATAAACAATTACTTTTAGTTAGACTGCTTTAAATCTATACTAATATATAAAATCCTTAAGTGACTGACTCACTGATTAATCACGATCCTGCTCAAACCACTCAATGTAAGAAGCTCAATTTTGGCATACAGGTTGATTCTAGGGTGTAGAGGTTCGATAAGAAGGTATTTTTCAAAATTCTAGTTCCAAGGGGGTGAAACCACCCCTCAAATATTACAATATTTTTTATTTACAAAACGGCCAAGTTTCCGAAAAAATGCTTAAATACGTATATTTATTTTGTTTTTTTACATATTTTAAAATTTTTATTTAAAAGAGTGTTTTGAAAAATCTTGTCATTGCTTAATCACGATCCTGCTTAAAGCGCTTGACGTAAAAAGCTGGTTTTTGGAAAACGGATTGACTTTAGGGTGTAGACGTTCGATAAGAAGGGATTTTTCGAAACTCGAATTCTAAGGGGGTGAAATCACCCCTCAAATATTAGAATATTTTTTATTTAAAAACCGGTGAGTTTTTCGGAAAAACTCTTAAACACGTATACTTTATTTTGTTGTTTTACATGACCATTGAGTAATCACGATTCTGCTTAAATTGCCTTGCTTTGCTTTATCATCACCATTACAAATGAATAATTAGACGCGAACGAAGTCGCGGGTACACGCTAGTATAGTTATAAAATACTACCTAGTTTATATGTAAAAAACTCTAATATCACAGACACAAGACACAAATAATATAAATAGAGTTAAATTAACTATTAGAAAAAATCACCCTGAAGCTAAAGCTTTGTCTACACATAACATTTTTCCTGTCAGTTTTGTATCCTGTCTCTTGGCGTATGCCCTCTCATGACCTCTTGGCGTAAATACAGATAATCATTTATTCAATTGTTATTTTTCGAAAAAATAAATTAGAAAATCCCTGTACGTTTTTATCTGCATATACTTTACATCAACTTTTTTTAATGCTAAACTGTTTCCAAATGAAAAACCATGTTTCAGCAAATAATGCTCTTTTTTGTTAGTTGCACCAGTAATAAACAAATTGATTCTTTCTGTTTTGTTTAATGGGTTTAACGTCAATAGGTGTAAATCACGCGGAAACTGCATTTTGTCGTTTCACAGTAAAAAATGGCGTCGACTATTTTTTATTCGATGAAACAGTTTTCAGCAGTAATCAGATTATGCGATTTAAGCGTTGAATATAACACAAATTAAATCCATGAAATATACAGGGTGGTCCGAACTGTATTCCCGAAACTAATATCTGCAGATAAAAATAAGTAAAAAAGTTCGTATAAATGTATGCCCTAAAATGCTTAGTTTCGGAGATACAGGGTGTAAGTTTCATTATTATTTCGTTTTTTTCTAAATAATTTCTGAAGTAACGTCAATATTTCAATGAAAATTCGTATCTGGTAGTTTTTTGACATGAGAAATTTGATTTTGATGTCAATATGACTCCTATTTGTAGGGGGCGCCACCTACATGAGTTTTAACCGCTTTGAACAGTAATAACTTTTCGTCCGTATCTGTATAAAACGAGTTTGTCAAAATATACAATTTCGTGACTTTTTACGTAAAAAATGTCTCTTGGTAAAAATCGCCACGGGCAACCGTTCTCAAGATATTTCTAATAGAAATAGTCAATACATTTCATTATTGACAAGCAGATAAACATGTTGAGTAGATACCCATACAGCACATCAAATCACATTTACGATGTATTTACATTATTAGATGTAGACACAGGGTGACACAATTCCCCCGATGTAAATATGCTACGTTTACACATTGTAGTTCAACACGTATGCACAAAGGTTAAACGTCCGCCTCACAATGTAGCCACAGTATAGCATTTACCTATACACAAAGTAAGGGATACACAGTGTGCCGTAGGATACACAGTGCTTGTGTATTACGTCTACCGCGTGTATACGTATGTATTTTGCTTCGTATATACATCTTGTACTAGATAAAACTACTTCTTATGAACGAATTTAGGAAATAATACAAGTTTTGATGCCTAACTCTTCGTTCTTTTTAAGAAATATTTATTCAATGATATCAATTATATCTTTCTGGAACGAAAATTAGGAAGGCAAAACTTTGTATTTTCCAAAAGTATCTCGATCGTAAGTTCAAGAGAAGTAGCCTTAAAATTCGTTCCATTTTTGTTTTGTATTAAATGTACCATTTTTCTTCCATAAAATGGATTAAGTGGTTAAACAATAAAATTATTATATTTCTTTATATCATGGAACGCAATAGCGCAAATAACACAATAATAATAATTATTTACACTGCAGAAACCAGAAGTAAGAAAACACTGTAAAAGAACAGAATTTGTATCAAAATGTATTAAAAATATAAGTACCTAGTATAACAACATAGAAATGGTAAACACTGGTATATCGCCACGTTTGGTGGACCTTGTTTAGTCATTTTTTTTCTCCTTTTTTCCCTCCAAGCAGTTGGTTTGTTAGCATACTCGTTCATCGAGCACTCTGTTGGACTTTGTTGTATTTTATTTCCAGATTAACAATCTCACCCTTAAATTTTATATGAAATTGATTATTGAATATTAAACATATCTGTATATTGATCCATCAATAACTTACCGAATATCAGTGTTTGAAGTTCCGTGAAGTGTTTAAATCTTTCTATCTCTGGTCCATTTAGATTTTTATTATTTCCAAATTAAAAAAAAATATATTGCAGAGTTAACCTCTTTATCATTATACGAGAATATTTGGAGTTTTCATTCATTGGAGTCAAAATTTGGTAAATTGGGTATCAAGTAAGGGAAGAGTCGCTGCTATAATATTAATAATACACTTAGGAAGGTGTAACAAGGTAATTAAAAACTTGTGCTTACCTTAAAATCTCTTTTACACTACACACAAACAGAACATTTATATAGAGCTTCCGAATGATAAAACAATAATGGCTGCTAACACATACCACTCCTAGAAAGGAGAAAGGAGAGAGAACACCATGAGGACACATAAAAGAAACTTGGTCGGTGTATCTACGCAGAGGCTATCCGCGCGTGCGCACACCGTCATTTCATGCTAGAATGTAGACACAACAGTACACTATTACAAAGTGTCTATATAGATATTTATATTATGTGTATATGTCACATTTTTACAAGGTGTGTACTATAGGCACAACTATGATACGAAGTATCACACATACATATGACTTATACATTGTATGTCTCATATACCGACGTCAGATTTCATCATTTTAATAATTATTTGTTACGTTACAAAAAACTCTTTAGAATCTTGAGTGCATACGGTATACAACTAGTAAACACTGTATCACACAGTTCTATCAATATAAACCTGCGTGTATCTCATATGTATATGTTAGAACTAGATGAACATTTAGGTTCACTTTAACATATTTTGTTTCTCATATATCTCCTTTGTAGAAACGTAATTTCATTTGGACGTGCTGTATGGGTAGTTATTTGAAACAATAAATTTGGAAATTTTTTAATTTTTTTAATTAATCATAAATTTCTCTGCGGAAAAAATGATAAAACAGTTTCTGCTCAACTTTTGGCACAAAACATTTCAAATTTATGATTTCTGTCTAATAACTATTTAGTCAACATGTTTATTTTATGTCAATAATGACAGGTATTGATAAGTTCGATTCCAAATATCTCGAGAACAATTACTCGTAGCAATTTTTGCTAAAAGACCTTTTTTACGTAAAAAATGTCGTAAATGTATACTTTTTTAGGTACGGGCAAAAAGTTATTACTCTTCAAAACAGTTAAAACACATGTAGGTGGTGCCCCCTACAAATAGGAGTCATATTGACCTCAAAATCAAATTTCTTATATCAAAAAACTTCCATGCACCAATTTTCATCCATATATTGACGTTACTTCGGAAATTATTTGGAAAAAATCGAAATAAAAATGAAACTTCTACACCCTGTATATCCCAAACAAAGCATTTTAGGACATACATTTATACGAACTTTTTTACTTATTTTTATCTGCAGAATATGCTACCGAAGTCTCCGGGACACAGTTCGGACCACGCTGTATAAAGAAAATAGTAGATATACGGCCATATAATGACCACCAAAAAGTCTGCAATAAAACATTTGATATGATTACAATGACATTTTTAGGCTCTACAAGTGTTAGGTACACTAATTATAATCTACAACGTCGGTTAATAATTAATAAAAGACCTACCAGAGTGTAAGCACTGACGAAAACACTAAGCGCAGTCACGTAATTCACTAGAGTACACATGAACGACCCGAAAGGCCAGTACTGCAATAGTACCGGCACTGACGTGAACGGTACGCACAGCAGCGCTGTCAATATATCACCCACGGCTAAGTTCATGATGAAATAGTTAGTGACAGTTCGCATTCTGGGCGATTGCAGTACTATGTAGCACACGAACACGTTACCTAGAAGGGCCATCAGGAAAATCGTACCGTACATGGTGTATACTGCACTAGTAAACACTACATTCTTGTTGATATGGTGGTCTGAAACTACATCGCAGGAGGCGTTCGTTAGTGTTGGCTCTGTTGTGGCTGAAAACATGGTTGTCATTTTGGTCAATCTGCAACAATAGAAATCGAATTAAAAAATGTCGAAAAATTATTTCAATAATTTTTGTTTAATATACAGGGTGTTTCAAAATACATGTGTACACTCTCGTAAAAATAAGATTTATTTTTCATATTAACATAGGTCTGATTCAGCTAGGAAAATTTAACAGAAAATGCACGATTTTCAACATCTTTTTTTAGCGAAAAAAACCTCATAGACGTGTTCCTGGGGTCGAAATATACAACCCCTGAAAACATTTGCACTTATTTAAGACTCACCTTATATATTATATACTACTGTATGATCGAGAAAAAACGGCGTCAACGATGGCTATGAAATGAAGATCGCTGTCATTTTATATGTAAATTTATATGGGAAATGTCATCAATCGTCATTTCCTAGCCAACTGGACGCCATTTTTTTTCGATCATACGGTATATCGCTAGTCAGGAATAGAAATTGTAGCCAAATTTTTGAGATGGAGCTATACAAAATCAACATAAGTCGGTCCTTTTCGTTCAACAGCTTTGAACTACGCCAGCATGAGAATTGCTTCTCGATTAGTTGATTTATTTCATACTAACCAATAGAAGCAGTTTTCTAAGTTTCTATCTACCACGTAAATCAATTTAGCGTCTGACTATTCGCGCCTTTACTTATAAATTTAAATTTAATCTCTGACATATTTAAACAGAAACAAGAAACGGGTAGATATGACGAATATCTAAAATAACAGGTCGAAATAATGCGATTAGCAATAAAAAAATAATATATTATAGGTTATTAATATTTAGAGTTTAAAATAGTACGCGGGCAGGTGACAGCGTTCAGCGATGAAGTAGACGAATCAGATCATTTTATTTGGCGCGTGCGCTCGAAAATCCTGTTGAACGAAAAGGATAGACTTATGCAAGATTGATATTCCTATTTCTTTTCTTTGGCTTCACTTTCCACTTATTGTGTAAATGCGGTACTAGCAATATATTCTTATAATATATTTGATTTTAGGTATGTTAAAAAAAAATAGAAAATTATTTGGCCCACCCTGTGTAACTCAGCTCGATTGATTTTCTTCGGGGCGCTACCTAGAAAAAATGAGTGACGTTCCTATATTGGAAAATTCTTAATTAAGATGCATAGAGTTTACTTTCCATTTTCCGCTAGTGATGGAAATTGAACACCCGCGATTCAATTATAACGCTGCTGCATAACGAATTTTATTATGTAAAGAGAACCTTGGAAATGCTTGGGAAACACAAATAGACAGATTATTAAATAAGATGCTGTTGAAGGTGATCTAATTAGGAGGTAAAGACTCCTCAGCCATTGTTCACCGTTACGTCATTATTGTTTGTCAAATATGAGTTTCAGGGTGTGTCTGAGATCAGTTCATATTGTTTAGAAAAGTTTAAGTACGTTCCTATATTACTGATTGAACGAGTTCCGTTTTTTTCGGGGTTTATTCATTTTTTCTTGAAACCTTCATTAGTTACCGTACCAACCTTTTAATTCCAATCCTTTGAACTGTCGAAATTCCTATTTCTAAAGCATCAGCACAACTCGCTACATTACTTATGCCCACTTGCACCGTTTCTATAAACTTTAAGCTTATAAATTATTTTTCTCTAGAAAGAGACGCTGGTAGAACACTCTTGCCACTGGGCGCCGTATATGAAGTAAGTACAATGCAAAGGTGTATGTAATATTACTATGTGAAATACAAATTGATAGCGATTTTAATGTCCACTTGCACCGTTTCTATAAACTTTGTTTAAAGGCTAAACAGTGATATAATATTTTATTGTAGTTAATCACTGGTTTAGCCTTTAAACAAAGTTTATACAAACGGTGCAAGTGGACATTAAAATCGCTATCAATTTGTATTTCACATAGGAATATTACATACACCTTTGCATTGTACTTACTTCATATACGGCGCCCACGGGCAAGAGTGTTCTACCAGCGTCTCTTTCTAGAGAAAAATAATTTATAAGCTTAGCAATGAGCTCTGGTTTATTTTGGTTAAGTCTTTGAGGCATTTTGGCAATAAAAATTGGATTTTGTTTTACAGCAACATCTAAATTTTAATTTTGACATTCATCGATGCTCGTTCATAAAGTTATAACCCCAAATCAAATGACAATGACAATTACTAAAAAGAATATGCAGTAAATTCCGAAAAGCCGGAATGACGTAACAAATCTCTTTTATCTGATTGGCAAGTGATTGAGACAGTTCGATCACACTTACGACGTAACATTGAACGATGGCCGAACATTCTATAAAGTACCTTTAACAAATAATAGAATAGGCAAAACATTTATGTCATCAAATACCTGTCTAAAATTGGCTCATTTTTTAAATAAAGTTAATGGGATTGACTGACAAAGCCATGTGCAGGTTGTGTCAATCTGGAGAAGAAACGACAGAACAATAGTGTTCTGTCTATGGTTCTGTCGTTTCTTCTTCAGTGTCGTTTCTTCTTCAATTTATGTTAGTGCGACAGTCTGGCAAAGACGCGGTTCTTTTTATTAGGCATTGATAAGACATTGTCAAAAAGCTGTATGGAGGGTTCAGTCTCCAAGTTGATAGACTTTTGAGAAGGATAGGAGTGGAAAATGTAAGCTAAGGAATAGAAGAGGACCACGATAGATCTGAAAAGACTGCAATAGATAGAGGTGGCTAGGATCTAAACATAGAAAGGCGAATGTGAAAATCTTATCAGACTATAGCCACAGATTATACAGATTATAAACTTTGTTTTTTCTTTATTGTTTTTCGTGGTTCCAATTTTCGGAATCGGGCACTAGTTAAGTTACTAGTTTGCGCATATAGCACGCCCACTTATGACCTCTAAAATTGTGCACAGCGCCTGACCGGCCAAGTTATTAGAGAGATAGCGGAAAACCGAATAGTGTCAGTATTTACGCGTACCTTATTTTGACAGTTACGATATGCGCGTGTCAATTTTTAACGCAACGCCCACTAATTAACGTTACCGCCTGACGTAATTTGCGGATCAATTACACCAAGCGCTATTTCTAAATATCGTTTAAAAATTGCTTAAATGGACATGTGTGGGTATTTGACAACCGGGGCCGGCCGGCGAGATCTTTTATTTTAGGTTATGTTTGAATTGTTTTGAATTATTACTTTAGTTTTATTAGGTAATTTGATATTTAAGTAGCTGGGATTAGTTTTAATTAAATAAATATGGCCCAAAATATGGATTCCATCCACCTCTTCCAATATTAAAGAACCTATAAAGAGGCTTAGGTTTACAGCAGATGACGACTTAGCACTTCTAAGAGAATTTGTTGCCCTAAACCCACTGGCAGACGTTGAACAATAAGGCACTGGAAATAAGCACTTTAGCCCCTTAGTTTAAATATACTTAGTAAACAAAACAATTTCAAAGTTTTAAATTTAAAGTTAGGTTAAGTTTAAAGAGCGGACGCGACAGAATTCTTTCCGATCCGATAACTATAAATGAAGAGAGTTAATACCACCTCACCTAAAGGAAATAACACCTGGCGTTATTAACGTCCATGCCCGCTATTCGGTTTAACGATATCTCTCTATTACGCTGTTTATTGTTATTTTACGCGAGTTTATTTGCGCACAGGAAATTTTACTCGTTTGCTCCTCGTCATAAAAACCAATTTTCGTACCACGAATTAAGGATAAGATTTTTATCTGTATACATATCGTATACCCAACCTGTGCTACAGCTATATTCGATACCAATTAAACTTTTAGTTATGTAATCGAGGGCGCGATTTTTAAGTTCATTGTTGGTCAACCATGGCAACATATTAGACGCCGGGCTGACTAACTGGTATTTAAATTTCTCGCTGGGGATTCAGGTGGTAGCTCCGCTGTAAAAAATGCCAAGTTGTCCAAGTCATTTATTTGTTTTGTCTCTGAAATGGGACATACATATCGAAGCTTTGTCGAAAAAATTGAGCTCTGCCTGTTTTGCATTAAGGTCTGTTTCTAAGGAGCTTAACTTGTCAGTGGCTAGAACTGTTTATTATGCACTTTTTGAGTCGCACCTCAGGTACGCCCTTCCATTCTGGGGTACGTGTTGTGCGACTCAATTTGACCGCATTTTCAGGCTCCAGAAGAGAGCTGTTCGATATTCACTGGGACTAAACAGCAGAACTCATTGCCGGGACTTTTTTAAAAAAATTAAAAATATTGACTCTTCCTTCCTTATTTATATTTGAATCCGTTTGCCTAATACGTAAACATGTATCAGCTTCTCAAGAAAGGCCATCTCACACTTATCCACTCAGGAACGCGGAGCAAGATCTTTATCTACCTACCCCACGCTCAGAGTTAGTTAAAAGTTCAAGATTATACAACTCGAAAAAAATGCACAATCACCTGCCATTTGAAATCAAATCCATAACATCATTTTTTTCATTTCGCAAAGCATTGAACTCTTATTTACTAGACAAGGCTTTCTACGCCGTAAATGAATTATATTTTGAAAATCAAATTTGATCTCGTAAACACTGGTCTAATGTTTGCTATTGCTATATGACATCGAAATGAATTTATTTAGAGGTCATTGATATTTTACTATAAACTAGCTAAATATTTTTGAATATTATTTTTATTTTTTTGTTCTTTGACATTATAAACATTTATAAATGTTTATTTTAACAATAAGACTGACAATATTATTTGTATAATGTTTTGTATTATCTTTTGTTTGTTTGTTTGTGTACCTTGTTTTTTTTACTTTGTTTGTTAGTTTACCTTTGTCTACAAATTGAAAAATTTTTTGACAATAAAGGCATTTATTTATTTATTTATTTATTGATTTATGTTAAATAATTTCATAAAAAAAATATGTAAAAGTGGGCAAAGCTGTACCGGGGAAGCTCAATCACGTGACTAAAAGTTTATTTCATATGAACTACAAAAGTTTAGAGGTAGTTTCTTAAAATAAAATTTGCCTACGTGATGCGAACTTTATGACGACCTCTGTATATTTCTATT